ATGCACCTCCAGCTACTTCTCAGCTGCATATAACTAATGGAGATTAAGCTTGAAGAGTCTGACATGTTCGTCTGTGCGTGCAGCTGTAGCATGGCATCCTGTTCACGAGGGCCTCTTTGCCAGCGGGGGATCAGATGGGTCCCTCCTCTTCTGGAATGCAGGGTAAGATTGTTCAGCTTCCTCTACCTAGCCGTGCTTCTAAAGAATATTATGTTCACTGAGGTTCTCCGGCTTGCCACAGCCCATATACTGAAGGTTTGGGAAGCTGACCGCTGCTCCTGTGTGTGCAGGGTAGAGAAGGAGGTAGGAGGCATGGAGATGGCTCATGAAGGGATGATCTGGAGTTTGGCTTGGCACCCTCTTGGACACATCCTATGCTCTGGATCCAACGATCATACCAGGTAAGCTGCAGGAGGATGTCACGCATCTCCCGTCCTGTGGTGAAATTCTCCAAAGCATCATGTACACTATCTCACTGGTGTGGCTTCTGGATTTCAGTAAATTTTGGACCAGAAATCGTCCTGGAGACAAGATGCGGGATCGGTACAACTTGAACCTGCTCCCAGGGGTGTCCGAGGATGGAGTGGAGTATGGTAAGCATGTGCAGCCCCCACCCCCCTGTTCCTCCCCATATTCTCTTAACTGTGCACTAACGCAAGCGCTGTACCTTCAAGATGACATGGAACCCAACAGCATGGCAGCCATCCCTGGAATGGGCATCCCCGAGCAGCTGAAAGTGGCCATGGAGCAGGAGCAGAGTGGTGAGTCTGACACAGTCCGTCCTTTATGAGAACGCCGCTCTTTCACTGTTGGATCTTTCACTGCAGCACTTAGGCTTCAGCTGGGTACCGTAGCAGCTTCCTTCCTGAGTAATTGCTGGAATCCTTTTGATCGCAGATCCCTTTTCTCCAGACATTCTTGGTTTTGTAAGACCATGGGCTGAAGGGGGTGTTGGTTAGTGATGGACAAAATGAAGCTTATTCTGACCGCTGAAACTTAAATCATTCTGTATATGTTCCTGGTACCTTGACTTATTTCATGATGAATAAAGTTATCCTCCTGTAAACAGGATTACTCTGCCTGATATGGTTTGTCTTCCAGGAAAAGAAACCTCAGCTGAGGTGGAGATGACCATTCCTGGGCTGGACTGGGGCATGGAGGAGGTGATGCAGAAGGACCAGAAGAAAGTTCCACAGAAGAAGGTTCCTTATGCAAAGCCAATCCCTGCGCAGTTTCAGCAGGTACCTCTGGGGGTTTCCCTCTGCTGCTGGGCAGGCCTGCTTCTCTCAGCCTCTGACGCCACACGTGGCCTTGTCTCGTAGGCATGGGCGGAAAACAAGGTTCCTGCACTACAGCCTGGAGAGACGCCGAAGGAGAGGAAGGATGAGAAGAAGGTGGACGGCAAGAAGAAGACGCAGGCGGAGATCGAGCAGGAGATGGCAGCCTTGCAGTACACAAACCCATTGCTGTTGGAGGTGAGGTCTGCACCATCAGTGCCACACATCTCCATCGGGGGCATGAGGAGGCTTCCGGTGGGAATGCTCATTTATGATTGAATAGTTATGTTTCCTTGACAGTGTTGCAAGCACACTTTCTGTTAGTAATACTTCAACACTAATACTTCTGTAATCCTCCTTTACTCCTCCAGAAACTCAAGATCGAACGTCTGGCTCAGAAGCAGTCAGAACAGGTGGCGTCAACCCCTCAGGGCCAACCGGGGTCACTACAGCCCTTTCCTGGCCAGGGCCCCATGCCCCCCCCTCCTCAAGGATTCCCGCAGTCTCTCCCCCCTCAGCAGATGCCCCACAACATGCCTCACATGGGCCCTGGGAATCTCCAGGGACCATTCATGCCTCAGAGCCAGATGGGGCCCCCAGGCCCACAGCTTCATCAAGGACCTCCCCAGGGCTTCATGGGGCCCTCTGACATGCACGGGCCCCAAGGCCTTCAGCGACATCCAGGACCAGTTAGGCATATGGCACCTCAGGGGCCACAAGGGCCACATGGCATTTCCCCAGGGTCCCGAGGGATGACTGGACCTCCTCAGGGAGGAATGCAGGGCCCGCCAGGACCCCCGAACAACATGATGCCCCCCCCACCTCGGGGAATGGGGCCAAGAGACAATCAGGGGCCTGGACCACAAGGGAGCATGATGGCCCAGGACATACGGGGGCCCCCATCCCAGGGCAGTATGATGGGGCACCAGGGTCCTGCCATGCATGGCCAGGGTCAGCAGAATCCCCCTAGGACTCATGGCAACATGCACGGTCCTCCTGGTAACATGCATGGTCACCCAGGCAACATGCACGCCCCACCTGGGAACTTGCACGGTCCTCCGGGCAACATGCAGGGTCACCCTGCAAACATGCATGGTCTCCCTAGCAACATGCAGGGACATTCCCCTTTCATGCAACAAAGCAAATCACCACTGTTAGGTGAAGGATCCAGGGGGCAGTTTAACCAGGTGAGTGAATTATATTTATAGAATGAAAATGTTTAGCACAGAGCAGTTTTACATGGAGATGCCAGGTATTCCAGGAAGGTTCATCAAGGGTACAAGCATCCCGGAATTGATGACGTTCACCAATGCTGGCCCTGGTCTTACAGGTGGGACAGAGTCCGCAGCCAATGATGTCTGGAATGGCACAGCAGGGACCCAATGGAAAAGGTGATGCATGCAACGACACGCCCACCTGTCCTCAGGTTGGTGCACAGCAAATGCTTACCGACTGATTTTTTTTCCGCAGGAGATGCCCGCGGACCCCCCAACCACCACATGGGGGCTCCACCCGATCGGCGGGGCCCCGAGGGTGTAGGGGTGCCAGACCAAGTCACTGAGAGGGGGGGCCCTTACTGGGGAGATTCTCGTGACGGACGCCGCGGCCCCCCTGAATACGAGGGGGCAGACGAACGCTTCCACGGACGGGGGGAGGACAATTGGCGGCCGAGGGGCCCCGGGCAAGAATATCCCGCTGATAGCAGAGGCCCCAGGGGGGCCGCGCCAGGGAAATGGGAGTCACACCGAGCTTCAGATGAGCGTTACGCTCGAGACGCCGAGGAGAGCCGCTTCCGTGGACGCCGGGAGGAGAGGTATGCTAGTCGCCACGCGCAGTCAGATAACCTTCCACGCTGGAGGTTTGTTCGTACAGCCAGGCACAGGCCTAACGCCGCTGCCGTTCACCTGTGTGCAGGTTTGACAATTACGAAGGTCCCGGGGACGATTTTGAGCAGCGTCAGAGGGAGACCAGACGGCCTTCACTGCCCCCTCGACATGACTCTGAAGAAGCGTAAGAGATGCGCACCCAGTCCGACCCCCATAAACACGCCGGCTGGAGTGTCGCTTACTTCACCATGTATTAAGTGTAAATTTTATGAAGGTTGGGGCAGTTGTAACTTTTCTCCTCCGGGTAGGTTTCGCAGGGGTGGCCCAGCTAGGTCGGACTCCAGGGGTGGTGCCCGGGGCTTTCCAGAGGAGTTTGGGGCAGAGGAGGGCTTCGATGCCGCGGAGGATGCCGGTCGAAATTGGGACAGTGGAGGCAGAGGGAGGAATCGTGCCGGGCCGTCCAGAGGAGGTCAGATGTCTACATACCCCCCCCCCCCAACCCATTTTACTGCGACAGTGGCCTAACCCCTCTGTCCTTACTTTCTTTCCCAGGTGCACGCAAAGGACTGCTTCCAACACCAGAGGAGTTTCCCCCATGTTACGATGGAGGACGCAACTCGGAGAACTGGGAGGGCGGCCGAGATCAACGTAAGCTGTCTGGAAGAGGAGGGTGTGTGTGAGCGTGTGTGTGTGTGCCCTCACATTCACTGAGCTGCTGTGTTTCTCCAGCTCACGAGGCCTACAGGGATGGGCAGCGGCCGGACCACGGCCCTCGGGATAGTCCCTCACCTGCCGGGAGGGAACGTTCCTCCTCCCTGCAGGGCATGGACATGGCCTCTCTGCCTCCCCGCAAGCGACCCTGGCACGACGGGCCCGGTACTGGAGACCCCCGTGAGGCAGATGCTGGTGCCGGCCTGGAGGACAGGGGTGGGTAGAGGTTTGTGTGCTTAAGTACCCTTGCACTGGAGCTGCCACTCATAACTATCTGTTCCTCAGGTCGACCCCAGCAGAGGGATCCTCACAGAGACGAGGGGGGCTACGGAGGACCGTCCCGAGGCCGTGGGGGATGGGGAAGGGGCGGATCAGGTGCAGCTGGGGGTGCAGGGCCCAGCTCAGGGCCTGCCACACGACGGGGTGCCAGCCGGGGGCTCCCACGAGGTGGGAGGTCTCGGTAGGACTGTACGATTGGGAAAGGAGCTACAACTGTACCATCCACAGGCTCTGTATGGGGTGGGACCAAAGACATACCTCCATATGTGCACCTTGTGTGTGTGCGCATGCGCGCGTGTGCCTAGACGCCCATGCGGACCCTGCTCCACATCTGTGTGGGTGTTTTGGCCCTGATCTCACTGTGGGTGTGACACTGGACAGGTCCTGAGAACGTGTCCTCCTTGTTGGATTATCTTGCCCAAACTGGTTGTGACTCCAGCCCCGAGCAGGGAGGCTCAGCCCCTCCCCACCTGCTGCTGCGTTATCCAGTCGTGGACCCGTCAGGGAGCCTCCCCCCGTACCAACAGAGGCGGCCAACAAGACGGGACTGACTGCTTCATCACTGTCAAGCTGGCGTTCGTGTGGTTCCCCCACAGCAGCACTGGCACCCGGCTGTCTCAGCCCCACTGGCAGAGCAGCGAGTGCTGCTGCTCCAGTGCAGAAACCCAGTCGTTGCTAAATGTACAGTCGTTTTTCCCAAAAGCACATTCTCATAAAACGGGATCTGATTGTTTCCCTCAGTCTTTAACTCCTTTAATTTTTAATATAAAATGGAGGAAGGTAATCTAACATTGCCACGCCCCTTTATGTAGAGGGTGCATTCTTTGTTTCTAAATGTACAGTTTGTCAAGAGATTGTCATATTGTTTTGTCCATTTTTGTATGACTGCAATAGAACTTGTGCAAAATTTAACAGTATGAGTGTTTTATTTCAACTCGGTTAAGCTGGATAAATCAGTAAAATACAAAAGCAAAACTTTCTTGTACATTGTCCTGTTCCACAATAATGGCGGAAGAAAAGCTGTTAGTGGTCCCTGCGGCTTTCTTGTTCGCTAATGCTTAGTTACACACTTCCAGAAAGCCTGTATAGTGTCATAAACCTTACATTAAACTTGGTAAGATCCTGGGTGGCACAACAGCCACCATGTGTTTTAGGAACGCCAGGCTTTTCGATCGGCAAAATAGATTCCAGCAGCGTCCAGCTTCGTGTCAGATGGGCATGGTTTTGCCAGAAACGGTCCTTTTGATTGCCGATGTCGCAAGACTGCCAAGGAACCGCATCCCACTGCTTCCTCCCGGGAGCAGGGCGACAACGTACCCCAGAATGGCGGTGACCTGGAGGACGGCCCCCAGAGCAGTCAGGAGAGTGCTGTGGAGACCGAGGGCAGCGTACAGGGTCGCTGCCAAGGTACAGAGGTAGAAAATGGCACCAGGAGTCGGGGACATTAGTAACTTGCTGGGTCCGCGCAAGATCGCCGCGGCAAACAATGCAAAAAGCGACCCGAGGGACCAGAGAAGAGCGAACTTCCGGGCTTTGAAGAGCAAAAATGGGGCGTAAAGGCCGGCTAGTCCAAAACACAAGACGCAGAGTGCAGCGCATACCCCGAAAGCCATAAGTCTCTGTGATCTGCTCATCCCGGGCAAACACGGGTCCGGCTCCGATGTCCATGGCCACGAAAAGCTGGGTCCCGCTGCTGAGGCGCCGTTGGTAGCCGACCGCGTAAAGGGATTGGACCAGCTGCTGAACAAGTTCTGCTTCACCGGCGGAACGTCCTCAACGCTGACTACAGTACTCGAACCAGCGCCGTTTTTGGACTGTGCCAGGTATTCTTGAAGCTGTCTGTTTAATTCGGTCATGTTTCACCTGGTAGTTACAGACGTGATCGACAAATATTCCAAGAATCGGTGACCGGAAGTTACCGAAAGTACCGACGTCAGGTTAACGCGACGGAAATGGGAAACTTTAAAGACGTAGCTCCGTCATTCTACAGTTTGGCTTTAAACTCGTATAGTTGTGCGCTAAAGTAAAAGGAATCGCCAAGTAGTATGTATAATATATTTATAGTGGTTAATCTAAAACGTCTGTAGGGATCATAATACAGCAATGGATTGGCTCAGTGTGGCTTCCTTAGAGTTTTTTTACAAGGGAGGGCAGCGTGGCTCACACGCTTGATGGGGAGGCTGAGCTCACCTGTGCCAGTGGCAGGAATTGGCAGGGAGATTTACGTTTCTTTATCCGCTTGTAAGCCGGGGGGGACGGGGACGTGGTGTGTTATTTGCGGTTGTTTAGACCGACAATGAATACGGGCAGTAGTTTGTGAATTCAGAGAGGAGCCCTAGTTCCGGATGATGCGTAATAGTACTGTTGTACTTTTAAAGTTTGGAAGCGGAAGCCCCTTGCTGTTTCCGGTACCTCTTGGTGCAACATATATACAACATGGAGGAATAGGTCTTTCTGATGTTTACTCCAGTGGTGTGGCCTCCTCTTTATCATCGTCTTTACTGATACACGTGGACGTCTAAAGCAAAGTACACGATGCGTCGTTGGAGGACTTAATCATGTTAATATCCTTGCATTTTTATTATGACATTATGAGTTTTTGAAGTTTAAATGTAGCTTGTATTTATACGCATTCATTTTGTAATTGCAATAAAATGTCTTCGGTTTCTGTAGCAATGATGTGTCAGCAATATTTGTTCACGTACGATATAGACTATTTGTTGATAAATCCATTGTAAAACCTGTTATGCTACATTTGCTATTTGAAACAAAAGCTGTTTTAATTTTCTGATCTGGTCTCACCAATCAACATTACCTTCAAAATGCGGTAACTGATTTATCATACAGGTTCAGTACCACAGCTCGTAATGATCACGCATTCTCCACAGTTTCAGATTTTACAGTCTAGGTACCACTCCCATAAGCAAGACCTATCCTTGTCCCCTGTCATGGGAATGTCGGTATTTCTATAATTAACCTGCCGCTACATTGGCTAAGCAACGTGCTAGTGATGTCTATATATGGGGTTGCCTATAGTCACCACCATGAGGTGACTGATTTGAGAAAAGCAACCGGTCTGGAGCCGAGAGCTGGAACAGGTGATCTCGGATGGAAAATTACAGATTAATCAATGAAATCGACTATCTGGCAATTAATCCACAAAGCCGGGTCACTTTAATTAAACGGCAAAAATCAACCGTTTCACGATCCTAAAGGAAAAAGCGTAGACAAGCTTTCTGTAATTGGGACAAAATAGAAAAGGCGAGTACCACGTGTTACCGAGCATCTTCAGTATTATTCCATTTACTTGTGTGATGCTTGCAATATGTGCCATGAGTGTAACGCTATTTGCTTTTGATAACATTAAGGCAAAAATTCACGGTTATTAAATGTTTCGGAAATAGAGCAAATTGACAGTCTGTTTTGCATAACGTTTTCTACGCTATTATGGGATTATTTATCACTCAGTTTATACATCAGTGCTGTAATGTAATGTGTTTATGTAACGTCCCAAGCAAAAATTTACATTCCAACATATTAAATGGTCTTACCAGTAACTTACAGTAACAACAGTTCAGCTCACTGTTCCAGCTGAATATCCTATTGGGAAGCCCACTGCTTTTCTTTTTCAACCGAGTGAATACAAACTAACTGTCAGACTTGCCCCACTGGGTGACAGCTTGCACCAAAATCCTATTTTGGAGTAGGACAGTTCAGACCCATTCAGACTGACTGATGGCAGGTGGTGACTCTTCCCGCAGGTCCATGTCTGTGACGCAGATCACATCCAGTTTGTTCCTGGGCAGTGCGGAGTCCGCCATGGACCAGATGTTGGTCTCACGGAAGCACATCACGCTCATCATCAATGCTACAGTGACACACACCTGCCCTGCATACCGTGGTGTGGAGTGCATCCGCATTGCCGTTGCAGACCTCCCGCACGCCCGACTGGGGGACCACTTTGAGAGGGTCGCTGACCGTATCCATAACAACCGAGCAGGCGGCACACTTGTCCACTGTGCGGCTGGCATGAGTCGCTCACCTGCCCTAGTCATGGCCTATTTAATGAGATACAGGGGGGTCACCCTGAGGCAGGCCCACCACTGGGTCCGTGACCGACGCCCCCATATCTGCCTCAACGCTGGCTTCTGGCGTCAGCTGCTGCAATATGAGAAACAGCTGTACGGCAAAAACAGCGTGAGGGTGGCCACTTCACCCCGGCTGCAGGAGGCCAAGAACCTGCAGGGCGGCGCTAGAGCCCACTTGTGGCGCTGAGTTAGCAGGGTTTACCCCTCATGCCTGTTCAAGCTGTTCGGGTATGATTGTGAAATGCTCCTCCATGGAACAGCACCCCTGCCCTCTGACCTCCAAAGATTCACTTTTTTTTTTTTTTACATGACATGTTTCTCTGCGGGCACAAATTGATCAAATGATGTAAAGCACTTATAAACTATGTGAGCTACACTGTTTAATCTCTGCATGACTGATATGCTTTAGTAACTGTCCGGAGTCCATAGGTGGCTTTATAGCCCACATTCAGTACAACAACCAAACACTGTGATAGTAAAACTACATATACAAAAGGCAATGGCTAACTTTACATTGAACAAATGATCGGAAGCAGTCCTCTGCACTGTGGGAGATTCTGGTCTCCCGAAGTCACCTGCGCATGAATAATAAGCGTGGTGGTCAGTGTCCATGAGGCAAGTGAGGGGGTGTGAACTGGCTCCACAGTCATCTCAATACTGGAAGCTTCTCTTGGTCTGAATGTCATCCAGAATCTGCTGAAGCTCCTCATCCTCAAAACGTCCCTCCAGACTATACAGAAAGGGAAGTCAGAAGGCGCTCAAAAACTAACCATGAGGGGACACCTCAGATTTCACACAAAAAAATCTGACCTGGGGATAAGTGCTTTGGCCTCTTCTGCCGCCTCGGGACACAGATTAGCCAGACTGGCCAGCTCGAACTTGTGGAGTTTCTTCTGCAGGAGCAAACTGTAGGACAGAGAGCGAAGTAAGACCAGGCGTACTCAGGGTTTCTTTTCCAGGTGCCTGCAATAGGAGAAACAAGATCACCTGCGCACGCTAGCGATGGTTTCTCTGTTCTTGAATCGGCTGAAGCGGGCGGTGTAGTTCAGCGTCTTCATGAAGACCTCGGACAGCTCCTGCTCGTCCTCGGCGCTCTCGTTCTGCTGCTTGCGGTGCTCCAACAGCATGTGAACCTCGGAGTTCAGCAGCGTCTCCGCATTTTCAAACTCTGCCGAGGACACGGACAGGCTCGGAGGTCGCCCACGCAGCCCCTCAGCTCATTCCATCCGAAAGGCGTTTCCGAAGTACCGTACCTTTGGGGAAAAGCAGCTGCGACGCGTCTTCCTCCACATCGCCGATGCCCGCTGGCCCCGACACGCCTGCCGCCGCCATTTACTCTGTTAATCGCTCGCTACCGTTATATAACAAAGCACTCGACTTATTTACAAAAACCGTAAACTTCAAGTAAATCCGAGTAAAACCTTTAATATTATTAACAAAGGTACACCGGAGAAAACCCCACGACGCACCAGAGCCCGCCAGCAGCCCTTTTAGATACAAGAGCAGATAGCTGGAGAAGAGAGCGCTGGCAAAGAGCGCCCCCGTCCGTCTGGAGGTCGTCAGAGCGCCACATCCCCCCCGTCCGATTATTGGCAGACAGCGCCCCCTTCGGTCTGGAGGTCGTCAGAGCGCCAGATTCCCCTGTCCGATTATTGGCAGACAGCGCCCCCGATCGACAGGATGTCGACTTTCGCACATCTTTCCGGCGGCTTTCGTGTCCTTTCCACAAATATAATCTTCCAGTCATGCTTTTAATAAAGAGACGTATTGTGTGTCAATAAGTTCCCATCCCGTCCCGCATTAATTCTCTCATAGTGTCGAATGCAAGATAATTGCTTTGGTCGTTGTCAAAAAGTAGTAAAAAAAAAAATAAACGTTACATTTTCTAAACCTCGATCCGAATTAGCGCTGCCAAAACCCTTCAAGGGCTCGGATCACTAATTTCACACGAAAAATAAGACGGGACTGCTAAGTAAATGGGAGGGGAAGTGTGTGTGTGTGGGGGGGGGGGTGTTTGGAGCTGCCGTACCAAGTGACATGTTCTAGAAATAAATGTCTAACAGCTCTGACGGCTAACTTGACAAAGCATGACAACGGGACTGTGCACATAACCCCTTACCCTTTAGAACAGCCCCCTCCCCCCACCCACATACCACTCACTGGCATTATTTCATTTTGGGGAACGCTGTTGATTCCCTGTGTTTATGTAAGGACTCAAAGCACTTCTCTCAGCGGGTATGGGGGAGTGGGAGGGGGACGTAAATGGCCCTGCCACTCTTAGGTCATTTTTCTTTCTTCACATAATTTGACACTCGCCTTTCCTTGTAAGGTAATGTTGCCGTTCCACAAATGGGTCTGTGGCTTTTGCTGGAGCAGTAGCACAGTGTTCTGGCCCTGTTTACATTCCAGGCTGGCTGTGTCTGCCTGCCAACCGGACGACAGGGCGCCACCGGGGGAGCAGTGACTTCACCCCACGAGAGACACCGTCTGTTGTTAGACATTAACAAAGGACACATTCACTCCCCAGAATGTAGCAGCTAACTGAAAGTTCACAGCTACCAAAAGAGGGCGCTCTTCAACTGTCATTACATGTTTTATTAACAAACAAACACCTTATAAGTCATAATTGTGTTGTATTTATTTATTCACCTGTATTTGTCAACACAGGAAAGAGAATCACTACACAGTGATACTGGCTTTTGAACTTTGGGCTCAAAGTCCAAGGTTTCTCATAAACAATCAACTCTTCCATATTGGTAAGCACTCATGGAAAAAAACATTTTAAAGCTCTGCATTACACACAACATAAAAATAAGTTCTTGGCTATTTCATGCATCACACCATGTACAATTTACACATAAAACTGTGAATTCTTTAAGTAAATAGTTCCACAATGGTATCTGAGTGTTTTCACCTATAAAAATGCCCCACTGCAAATAAACGTTTTCAGAGAAGGATATAATCCAGGCTGGGTGTCCTCAGCCTCAACCTGAGTTCTCCTAATCACTTTTTTTGGTACAAAGTGTTTAATAAAGACCTAACTTGTAAAACACAAGTGCACATCTTCACCTCTGCTGTTTTACATGTAAATAGTATAATGCACAAAGTTATCATCAATACCAAAAACCTAGTAAAAAAAAAACAACAATTAAGCTCTAAAAGTATTTAAATAAAGACTTGAACTGACATGTTAAATGCTTGATTAATGAGAGAGATTTTAAAAAATACATTTCTATATACACCAATCATTAAAAGCACTTCACTGTGTATTTACAAAGGTTACTGGCAGACCTGTTGCCGGAGTAGAGTTTCCATGGTGATGTTATGTGGTGACCACAGTTAGCGCCTGGAGTTAGAAGCTTGTTTCCAGTCCAGACAGGTTTTCAGTTTGCAGCCTTTCTCAGTCTAGGTGCTTTCTCCTTTGTCTGGCTCTTATGTCTTTCTTGTGTGTCTAGGTTAATTCAGACTCCCAATAGGATCCCAGAAAACAAGGTCCCTTTTTGGACAATGAATGCAGAGCCTGTTCCATTGTCTACGAAGATGGAGACGTATTCACCTGCCTAGGAGAGAAAACAAGCCAAACTTAGCGGGCCAAGTATCATGATGACAGTCGGCAGTTGGGCTGCTTGAATCACAGATGAGTCACAGAAATGAGTCACAGTTGTAATTTAGTTTTTTTGGTGTTTTAAACAAAATGAGCATTCTTTGGTAATACTCTGGCTTTCTTGACCTGGCGGGAAAACTGTGTGCCTGTATTAGTGTTTCCTGCTGAATCCCATACCTGCAGGTAAAGGGTTCCTGTCAACAGGATACTGTAGACACCCCCAACTTGACTTGCACCTCCCATGGCCTCCAGGGACCTGGAAAACATCAATCCAATACATGCCGAACAAAGAGACCTGCGGCTGGATAATCAGTAAGGGCTGTTTATGAGGCTCGGATTGCAGGAATTATCTCTAATGATCAGTAAGGACTGTGTGAAGCTCAGATTGCAGGAATAATCTATAACGACAGGTAAGGATTGTCTGTGAGGCTCAGATTTCAGGAACGATCTCTGATGATCAGTAAGGATTGTGTGTGAGACTCACATTGCAGGAATGATCTATAAGAACCAGTAAGGACAGTGTGTGAAGCTGAGACTGCAGGAATGATTTATAATGATCAGGAAGTAGGTAGGATCTATAATCATCAGTACTTACAGGTTACTGTGACAGAGTGACTCTATGCAGATGGATGCCTTGATCCAGTCTTTCTGCCGCGGCTGAGTCTTACGTTGGTTCTCACTGGGCTCTGATGACAGAAGTATGCAGACAAGGGCACACGTAGAGACAAGTTTGTCTGGAGTACAGGCTGGGAGGCAGGGGCATCAGGAAGGAAACTGACACAAATACCCAATCATATTCGGGCCAATATGGAGTCAGCCGATCTGCATTTTCCGGTGTGGGGAAGACAGCTCTGCACATACGTTCATATAAACCCAGACCTGTGGAGCTTCTGTAATGGTCTCTGCATTGCACCAGCAGCTGGACAAGTTTCCAGAATTCTAAAGAAGCGATCCCACCCTGAAGCCCACCCAGTTCCTTAGAAGGCCTTATCTCTGACATATGTTGTCTTTGCAGACACTGACTGAGTACAGTTTTGTTGCTCTAGGCCAATAGTGCTCTGAGGAGCGGGCGACCCTGAACGGTGCTTTACCGATGAGCAGGCTTCCGGAAACGTGGTAAAACCCAGAGACGGGAGCGGTATAGCGCCCACTGCTGGAGTTGAAGCCCTGACCTCTCTGGAACTGGCTCTCCGCGTCTGGAGGCTGAAATACAGAAGACGGTGAGAGGGAATATTTGTGTGTATGTAGGAGATTACTGAAGCATGTATGTACAGGTAGGCGTGTGGAGCAAGGTCAGGCACTCAGACTCACGGCGCCGAACGGCTGCAGTTCCACAAGGCTTCTCCGTGGTACAGGCAAGTTGTGTAGCAACCGGCAATGGAAAGCCGTCCCTACTCGTGGGAGCTGGTCACAGAGCAGGCAGCCTCCACTGGTGTCCAGGGTCCCAGCAGTGACAGCCACCTCTGTGTGGGGAGGGAGAGAGCAGCCAATCAGTATGCTGTCACACAGCTGGAGGGAGAGAGCAGCCAATCAGTATGCTGTCACACAGCTGGAGGGAGAGAGCAGCCAATCAGTATGCTGTCACACAGCTGGAGGGAGAGAGCAGCCAATCAGTATGCTGTCACACAGCTGGAGGGAGAGAGCAGCC